TCATAAAACATAGTATTTTCTGTTGATCATGGGGTTCTGTGTGGAAAGTTTGGTCGAATTCTATCGGTGGGGTTCAGAATGCTATTTCATTGTGGGTGAACTATAAATCCCAACGTATTGTCGAAGGCTTTCATGGCTGGAATCACTAGGTTCTTGTGGGTTTTTTCGGGCTATATGGCCATGTTCTAGAGGCATGTTCTATATGGCCATGTCCTAGAGGCATAATGCCTCTAGAACAGTGGTTCTCAACCTGGGGTCCCCAGATGTTTTTGGCCTACAACTCCCAGAAATCCCAGCCAGTTTACCAGCTGTTAGGATTTCTGGGAGTTGAAGGCCAAAAACATCTGGGGACCCCAGGTTGAGAACCACTGCTCTAGAACATGGCCATATAGCCCGAAAAAACCCACAAGAACCTATAAATCCCAACAATTACAACTCCCAAATGGCAAAGTCTATTTTCTCCAAACTCTACCAGTGTTCACATTGGGGCATATTGAGTATTTGTGCCAAGTTTGATCTAGATCCATCATTGCTTGAGTCCACAGTGTTCTCCTGATGTAGGTGAACTACAACTCCAAAAAAACACAAGGTCAATGTCCACCAGACCTTCCCAGTATTTTCTCTTGGTCATGGGAATTCTGTGTGCCCAGTTTGATTAAATTCCATCATTGGTGAAGTTCAGAAGGCTCTTTGATTTTAGGTGAACTATAAATCCCAGCAACTCCAGCTTTACCAAATAACAACATCAATCACCCCCAACTTCACCAGTATTCAAATTTGGGCGTATTGGGTATTTGGCACAATGTACAGGTCCAGTGACTGAAAATACATCCTGCATATCAGATATTTAGATTACGATTAATAACAGTAGCAAAATTGCAGTTATGAAGTTGCAACGAAAATAACATTATGGTTGGGGGTCACCACAACATGAGGACCTGTACTAAGGGGTCGCAGCATTAGGAAGGTTGAGGCCAACCCCAGCAATACAGTATTTATCGTGTTGTGTCAGGAGCAAACCAAACAGTTGTATTGCATTTTTAAACAAACAATACACAAAGTTTGCAAGGTTGGTAGTTGATTAAATGTCCTTTGAGCAGTATCTGGCCACTTGGAGTGCCTCTGGTGTTGCCGCAAGAAGGTCCTCCATTGTGCATGTAGCAGGGCTCAGGTTGCATTGCAGCAAGTGGTCAGTGGTTTGCTCCTCTCCACATTCGCATGTTGTGGATTCCACTTTGTGGCCCCATTTCTTAAGGTTGGCTCTGCATCTCGTGGTGCCAGAACACAGTCTGTTCAGCGCCTTCCAAGTCACCCAGTCTTCTGTGTGCCCAGGGGGGAGTCTCTCATTGGGTACCAGCCATTGGTTGAGGTTCTGGGTTTGAGCCTGCCACTTTTGGACTCTCGCTTGCTGAGGTGTTCCTGTGAGTGTCTCTGTAGATCTTTGAAAACTATTTCTTGATTTAAGTCGTAGACGTGCTGACTGATACCCAAACAGGGGATGAGCTGGAGATGTCTCTGCCTTGGTCCTTTCACTATTGGCTGGTGTAGGGTGCAGACACCTTGTGATAATGCGACATGTCTCATTAAGAGCCACATCCACGGTTTTAGCGTGGTGAGATGTGTTCCACACTGGGCATGCATACTCAGCAGCAGAGTAGCCAAGCACAAGGGCAGATGTCTTCACTGTGTCTGGTTGTGATCCCCAGGTTGTGCCAGTCAGCTTTCATATGATATTGTTTCTAGCGCCCACTTTTTGCTTGATATTCAGGAAGTGCTTCTTGTAGGTCAGAGCACAGTCCAGAGTGACTCGCAGGTATTTGGGTGTGCTGAAATGCTCCAATGGGAATCCTTCCCAGGTAATCGTCAGGGCTCAAGATGCTTGTCTATTATTCAGATGGAAAGCACACATTTGTGTTTTAGATGGATTAAGGATCAGCTGGTTTTCCCTGTAATAGGCAGTAAGGGCACCTAAAGCTTCAGAGAGTTTCTGTTCAACTATCTCAAAGTTCCCTGATTGAGTGGTGATGGCATGATCATCAGCATATGCTATCTATGCTGAACAGGAGATATGAAAAAGAAAGGGAAGGAAAAAACGACGAAAGAAAGGTAGGCAAGAAACAGCAATGGAAGGAATTCAGGAAGTGTGGTGTAGTGGTTTGAACAGGCCTTGAAAAAAAATATAGAGAGAGGAAACGGCCAAAAATTATTAGGACATATGTTGAAATGGGGAGTGGCATTTAGTCCCAAAGGCTTTGGGCTAGCATTGGCCACTTGGAGGCCAGAGGAAAACCCTCCTATGGGAGGATCCATAGGAGGCATTGGTTTATATCTTTGCAAGTATTTGGAAGAAAGACTTCAGAGGTGATTTGAGTCCTCCTGAGTCCAGACCTGAACCTGGGCCAAGCTCATTCACCCGAGGCCATCCTTCGCACAGAATCCGTGACCCTTTACAGTACAAACCATCTGGAGAAAGAGAGAGAGAAATATAAGAATAAATCTGACCAAATGCAAAGATTCCATTGGCTGAGAAGAAGGAGGTAACTTAAGGACACAGAGGGAGACTTTGGTCCCAGATTTCACACTCAGCACCCAAAAAACCCTGGATTTCTTGGAGATTGCATGCCCCAGGTGAGTGGGGAAGAAATGGGGACCCTGTCTTATGCAGTCTGTGCAATTGCTGTCCTTATTACCTATTATTATTAGCTCTAAATTATGATGATGATTCATTATAGTGACTTTGGCTACCACCATAATCACAATTTATGTTCCCCTTTCCTTCCCAGACCTAAGATTCCAAATTGTTTACAACCTATGATTATTATGATTATGAATCGAAATCATCACCACCATAATTATAATTTACATAATCATCATCATAATATTATTATGATTATTTAATAATTGTGATTATTTATTATTCTGATTTTTGTTATCACCGCATTCACCACTTATATTCAATTTTCCTTCTCAAGGTTCCAAATTGTTTACAACATAATAATAATAATAATAATAATAATAATAATTATTATTATTATTATTATTATTATTCCAAATCATTACCACCACCATCATTAATATCATTAATTTATTATTATTAACTATGAATTAATGTGATTATTTATTATTCTAACTTTTGTAATCACCATAATCACTACTTATATTCCACTTATCTTCCCAAACCTGGTTCCAAATTGTTTACAACATATTATTATTATTATTATTCCAAATTATAATCTAATTAATTATTAATTGATTTATTATTGTGATTCTAACTGTTGTCACCATGATCTTCACTTATATTCCACTTTTCTTCCCAACCTGGTTCCAAATTATTATTATTATTATTATTATTATTATTATTATTATTATTCCAAATCATCATCAACTTATTATTATTAATTAATTACTGTGATCATAACTGCTGTCACCATGATCACCACTTATATTCCATTTTTCTTCCGAAAACTGGAATTCCAAATTGTTTACAACAACAAAAACAACAGCAACAGAGACAACATATTATTATTATTATTATTATTATTATTATTATTATTACTAATTTTACTGACACAAAAGCACAGTATGTCACAGCAAACGAGATCTATATGCTGGATTTCGTATCACAAAATCACAAGTTGAACACTTCTCAAGCGTCTAGGAATGTGTGTTGTATTTTCGAATGATGCGCGCAGATCCACGTCAGGTGGCCTTTTGGAGTTGACAGATCGTGATTTTGTTAATGTTTATTGTTTCCAAATGTTGGCTGAGATTTTTTGGCATGGCACCTAGTGTGCCAATCACCGCTGGGACCACCTGTACTGGTTTTTGCCAGAGCCTTTGCAGTTCGATTTTGAGATCTTGATAACAGCTGAGTTTTTCCTGTTGTATTATTATTATTATTATTATTAGAAACACAACAAGATGAGTCCACAGCACACAAGATCACTCTGCTGGCTGTTGTATTGGATCACAGGTCGGACGCTACCCAAGTGTCTAGGACTGTGTGATGTATTGGTGAATAATGTGTGCATTATTATTATTATTATTATTATTATTATTATTATTATTATTATTGGATCATCTGTCGGACATTTCCCAAGTGTCTAGGACTGTGTGATGTACCAGCGAATAATGCGTGCAGATCCCAGTAGGGTGGCCTTTTGCAGCTGACAGGTGGTAATTTTGTCAGCGCCGATTGTGTTTAAGTGCAGGCCAAGGTCTTTAGGCACTGCACCCAGTGTGCCGATCACCACTGGGACCACCTTTACTGGCTTGTGCCAGAGTCTTTGCAGTTATTATTATTATCATTATTATTCACTATTAATCAGTATGGTTTTTAAAATTATTCTGACCTTTGTTATCACCATAATCATGATTTGTATTCCACTTTCCTCCCTGAATCTGGAATTCCAAATTGATTACATAATAATAATAATAATAATAATAATAATAATAATAATAATAATGATATGATTATACATTGTTCTGATCTTTGTTGTCACCATCATTACCATGTCTACTCCAAACATTCCAAATGGTCATAATCAACCTCTTCATCAGCCAGGATTAATTATTATTACTCATTATTCTGACTTTGTTATCCCATAATCACCACTTAATGGTATATTTGATATACCGTAAGTATATCAGCCACTTTAAGTCTCTCGCAGGAGAGGTGAAGTGGGGTATCAATAATAATAATAATCACCATCATCATCATCATTGTCGTAATCATAATTATTCTCTGCCCAAGAGTGTTTGTTCCTCATCAAACTACAACTCCCAGGATTTCATAGTATTGCCATAGCAGTTCAAGTGTGGTCAAACTACATTCATTTTGCAGTGTAGATGGGACCCTTAGAGGGAGGCCTTTGCATGGGCTACTGCTCTGGTATTGAGGTGGACTAGATGGTCTTTGGGGTTCCCTTCCAAATGTATAACTCCAGGATTTTACCTCTTTCTGCCCTACTTTTCCAGTTCTTGCTTTTCTTTGTTCACCTATGAATGTTATGGCTCCGGACGGCGGATGGGGATGGATGGTGGTCCTGGCTGGGTTCGTCCAGACGGCGCTGGTTTTTGGGGTGATCCGTTCTTTTGGGGTCTTCTTTGTGGAGTTTGTGGCCTATTTCGGGGAAACCTCCAGCGGCGTCTCCTGGGTGGTTTCCGTCGGAGTGGCCACTCTACAATTTGCAAGTAAGATGGAAATGCAGCTTTTACCAATGAGATACTACTTGGTGCACAAAGGCACTGAGCTTCTTATCTCTTGCAAAGAATATCTTCCTTAGGTTAAGCAACACTGACCTTACTCTTCTTAGTTTGTCCCAATCAGAATCAATGAATCGTTGCTTGGTGAGCCATAGGTAAATTCGGGTGATTAATACGTAATCATTGAGGATTATCACATGTTACTTAAGCAATCAATGCATGCTTTGCAGGATTGCAATACTCCTGGACAATGAGTTATTACATCAACATAAGTCATAGTCCCCTTCTATGGAGGTTTTCCAGCAGAGGCTGGATGGCCATCTGTCGGGAGGGCTTGGGTGGTGTCTTCCAGCTAACAGAAGGGGGTTGGACTGGATGACCTTTGGGGGTCCCTTCCAAGTCTGTGCCTTTATGGTTTACCTGTGTTGCTCTGCTTCCATCAGGCCCAATGGGGAGTGCCCTCAGCGCCCGCTTTGGGGTGCGTCCAGTGGTGATGGCCGGAGGTTTGCTTGCCAGCTTGGGGTTGCTGCTCGCCTCCTTCTCCACCAGCCTCATTCACCTGTACATGAGTGTTGGCCTGGTCGCAGGTGAGTCTGCTTTTCTTGACCTTTTTGCTTTTCAAAACTGCCAAAAACAGAAGGTGGAAAAAGTATTCTGGATCCTGTTGAGACAGAAATCCGGTCCACGTTTTCCCCTCTGATTTAAACACTGTCCTGGGTCCTGAACTCTCTCAGAAATAGATCCAGCACCTTGGAGAGTTCATGCAAACTTATGCAAAACCTGGACTGGATTCACCATTTCTCTGTCCTAGGTGGGCATCTACATACTCTGTAGAACTGCCATAATATAATTATTAATATTATTATTATTATCCTTATTGAACAACCAACAAAATTTGGAGCCCCGGGTGGCGCAGTGGGTTAAACCCTTGTGCCGGCAGGAGTGAAGACCAACAGGTCGCAGGTTCGAATCTGGGGAGAGGCGGATGAGCTCCCTTTATCAGCTCCAGCTCTCCATGCGGGGACATGAGAGAAGCCTCCCACAAGGATGACAAAACATCAAAACATCCGGGCGTCCCCTGGGCAACGTCCTTGCACACAGCCAATTCTCTCACACCAGAAGCAACTTGCAGTTTCTCAAGTTGCTCCTGACATGACAAAAAAAACAAACTTTGGTAAGATTCATACCTTTTCTTTTCCTCCTCTTCCTCCACCTCTTCTTCCTCTTCTTCTTCCTAATTGTGTTGTAGGCAGAAGGTAGGTAAATAATAGCAATAACAATTACAACAACAATAATAATACATTATTATACTAACCTTTACTGTGTGCCACCATTAATGGGACAGGTGGATTCATAACAGTCTGTAACAATATTTGGAAAAGTTTCCTTTCTTTGTTTGGAAGTATTATTTCCTGTATAATTGTATGGTGCTTACTTTGAAAGTAGTTGTTCAACTCCAGAAACTTTTTTTCGTGCCATTAACTATGTTGAATTGGTTGCACCTCGATGAGATATTCGTTGGAGAACTATAGCAAAATGTGCTGCAGGATCTCCCTTCTGCAAAAGCAATGTTTTGGCAATTTAATAATCTTTTCCCATGTTTTTATGATCCAATTACGAAATGACATCTATATCCCAGGAATCATAGAATCATAGAATCCTAGAGTTGGAAGAGACCTCATGGGCCATCCAGTCCAACCCCCTGCCAAGAAGCAGGAATATTGCATTCAAATCACCCCTGACAGATGGCCATCCAGCCTCTGTTTAAAAGCTTCCAAAGAAGGAGCCTCCACCACACTCCGTGGCAGAGAGTTCCACTGCTGAACGGCTCTCACAGTCAGGAAGTTCTTCCTCATGTTCAGATGGAATCTCCTCTCTTGTAGTTTGAAGCCATTGTTCCTGCGTCCTAGTCTCCAAGGAAGCAGAAAACAAGCTTGCTCCCTCCTCCTCCCTGTGGCTTCCTCTCACATATTTATACATGGCTATCATATCTCCTCTCAGCCTTCTCTTCTTCAGGCTAAACATGCCCAGCTCCTTAAGCTGCTCCTCATAGGGCTTGTTCTCCAGACCTTTTATCATTTTAGTCGTTCTCCTCTGGACACATTCCAGCTTGTCGTTCTCCTCTGGACACATTCCAGGAACAAAACTCATGTTACATAGTGTAATCATAATCAACCTGAACCAGAGAAGTGTCATCTTATTTTGCTCTTTGCCATTGCAGGCCTGGGCTGGGCCTTGGTCTTCAGCCCCTCCATTGCTGCTGTGTCGTGTTATTTCAACAAGCGTCGCTCGCTGGCCACCGGTTTGGCTGTCTCCGGCGCTGGCATCTCCTCCTTGGCCTTTTCGCCCCTCTTCCAATACCTGCTTCATGTCTATGGATGGCGAGGGGCCCTCATTTTGTTATCTGGGATGTCCCTAAACTTGGTGGCATCCGGCACTTTGCTCCGACCTTTGGTTTTGGAAGGAGAACTAGACGTCCCGGAGAAATCCAGTGATGCTGGCTGTTTGGAGACCCTGTCCTCCCTCTTCTCCCTTGAACTCTTGCGCCACAAACCCTTCATGAGCTACGTTTTGGTCTTCGTCCTGGTAGACGCCGGCTACTTCGTGCCCTATGCCCACTTGGTGGCCCATGCCAGGGAGAATGGGTGCGACGAATACCAAGCCGCTTTTGTCATGTCTGCTGCGGCCGTTTCGGACATGTTCGGCCGGGTCTTGGCTGGCTGGATTGCAGATGCCAAAGTCTTCGCCCGCCTGGTTCATAGCCTCACTCTTTGGACCCTCCTAACAGGGCTCTCCCTCACTCTACTCCCCTTGGGGCACAGCTTTTCCTCTTTGGTGCCCCTTGGCGTTGGCTACGGCTTCTTCGCAGGCACCTTGGTGCCACTCCAGTTCACCACTTTGGTGGAAATCGTGGGCACCGGGTACTTGATCGGAGCCATCGGACTCATGCACATGCTGGAAAGCATTGGGGCTTTGCTGGGAGCCCCACTTTCAGGTAAGGCCAATGACGCACTTCGTACAGAATTGAAAGACCATCTAGTCCAAGCCCCTAAAAAATGGTAGATAGATTGGATAGATAGATAGATAGATAGATAGATAGATAGATAGATAGATAGATAGATAGATAGATAGATGTAGACAGAAAGATAGATGTAGATGGATATATGGAGAGAAAGAGAGTGGGAAGAGCCCCAAAAGCCATCCGTCCAATCCCCTAAGATAGATAGATAGATAGATAGATAGATAGATAGATAGATAAACAGAGACTAGAGATAGATGAATGGATGGAATGAAATGAATGAACGAATAGGAAGATATTCCAAGAGCTGTCTCTCCAATCCCCTAAGACAGACAGACAGACTGAGCCTGGAGATAGATGGATGGACAAGTGGATGCATGAATGGGTGGATGGAATGAAATGAATGAAATAATAGGAAGATATGTGTTATTGTTGAGCTTGTTGACCGAAAGGTCGCAGGTTAGAATCCAGGGAGCAGAGTGAGCTTCCGCTGTCAGCCCCAGCTTCTGCCAACCTAGCAAATGTGAGTAGATCAATAGGTACCACTCCGGCAGGAAGGTAACGGTGCCCCATGCAGTCAGGCTGGCTACATGACCTTGGAGGTGTCTACGGACAACGCTGGCACTTCGGCTTAGAAATGGAGATGAGCACCACACCCTGCAGTCAGACACGACTGGACTTCATGCCAGGGGAAAACCTTTATGTGTTATCGAAAGCTTTCCTGACTGGAATTACTGGGTTTCTGTGAGTTTTCCAGGCTATCTGGCCGTGTTCCAGAAGCATTCTTTCCTGACATTTCACCCATATCTATGGCAGGCATCTTCAGAGGTTGTGAGGTCTGTTGGAAACTAGGCCAATGGGGTTTATATATCTGTGGAAACAATAGCAGAGTACTTGATGAACCAACCTGGATATAGCATATTATTTGAGAACATAGAAATGCTTGACCACTCTAACAATCACCATGTCAGACTACACAGAGAAGCCATTGAAATCCACAAGCATGTGGACAACTTCAACAGAAAGGAGGAAACCATGAAAATGAACAAAATCTGGCTACCGGTATTAAAAAACAAACAAACAGTAAATAAAGAACAACACTCAAAAAATAGGGTAAATTTAGACAGGAAACAATTTAAAGCTAACACTTCCCAACAAAGAATTCCCCCAAACAGGAATCAGCCAGGCCTTGAAGCTGCAAGACTCTTTGATGCTAATCAAGGTGATTAATTGCAACATTCCTATTTGCCTCCAACAGACAAGAGTTCTTTGTTCCATTCTGGACATTTCACAGATTTCTAAACCTTACTTGTCTAGTTTCCAACAGACCTTACAACCTCTGAGGATGCCTGTCATGGATGTGGGTGAAACGTCAGGAGAGAATGCTTCTGGAATATGGCAAGACAGTAGGCCTGGGCAATCCATGGTTCTAAATGGTTCTAAAGTACTTACAAAACTAAAGTTCTGATGGTGAAAATTTCAGAACTCTAACAAAACTTTCAAAATTTAATTATTATTCCATTATTTGTGATTTTTTTGATAGAACCAATTAGGAACTGCCATTTATAATTAAATAAATGGCTGAGGGGGAAGAGCCTAAATGGCTGAGGGGGGAAAGGAAGGGGCCTGAGGCTGTTAGGAATTTTTGGAGTTGAAAACATCTGGAGGACCAAAGTTTGCCCATGCCTGTTCTATGCAATGCTGCCGTGGGATGTGCACTCCTTGGCGGAAAAGACAAAAGACCTTGTAAAACTACAACTCCCAGGGTTGTGCCACCAAGCCATGGCAGTTCAAGGGCTGCCAAGCTGCATTCTTTCTCCAGCGTACCCTTGGATAGTATTTTCATTCCTTTTCCCCATGTAACTTCCAAAGCAACTAGTTACAGGTCCCTCCTTTCCTTTGGGCTCGATTCCTTGCCACTGACCAATCCTTTTTCCATTCCAGGATGGCTGAGGGACATGACCGGGGATTACACGGCCTCTTTCGTGGCCTCTGGGGTCTTCCTCCTGGCTGGTGCCTTGCTCCTTTTGACCTTGCCAAACTACTTCTCCCATTCCGAGCTGTTGGAAACCAGGAGGAAGACAACCATGCCACCTTTGGACCCGGAGGTATATGAATTGACCCAAGACTGAAGGAGACTAGTTAGCCAGCTCCAGTCTCCAAAGCATTGGAAGAAGTGACAAAGGACTTCAAAGTCAGCAGCAAAGTTTTCATCTTTCATCATCTTGTTCTCATTCTGTTGTGAAGAATGATTAAACGTTTTGCCTTTCTAAACTGGGACTGAAAAACAGTTGACTGGTTTTATTATTCTGCATTGAATATTTTCTCTGGAGATTTCTAAACAGAAGCTGGATGGCCATCTGTCAGGAGGGCTTGGATTGTGTCTTCCTGAATGTCAGAATGGGGATGGACTGGATGATCTTTGGGAGTCTCTTCCAATTCTCTGGTTCTATGATTCTATTAATACAATGCATTAATACCTTCTCTGGAGGTTTCCAAACAAAATCTGGATGGCCATCTGTCAAGAGGGCTTGAATCGTGTCTTCCTGCCTGGCAAAATTGGATTGTATGGCCTTTGGAAGTCTCTTCCAATTCTCTGGTTCTATGGTTCTGTAGATACACTGCATTGAATATCTTCTCTGGAGGTTTCTAAACAAAATCTGGATGGCCATCTGTCGAGAGGGTTTTGATTGTGTCTTCCTACTTCCTGGATGGCAGAATGGGTTTGGACTGGATGGCCTTTGGGAGTCTCTTCCATTTCTCTGGTTCTATGATTTGATGAATACACTGCATGAATACCTTCCCTGGAGGTTTCCAAACAGAAGCTGGATGGCCATCTGTCAGGAGGGCTTGGATTGTGCCTTCCTGAATGACAGAATGGATTTGGACTGCATGGCCTTTGGGAGTCTCTTCAAATTCTCTGGTTCTATGATTCTATGAATACAATGCATGAATACCTTGTATTGTCAAAGGCTACCATGGCCGGAATCACTGGGTTATTGTAGGTTTTTTCGGGCTGTATGGCCATGGTCTAGAGGCATTCTCTCCTGACGTTTTCCCTGCATCTATGGCAAGCATCCTCAGACCTCACTACCTCTGAGGATGCTTGCCATAGATGCAGGCGAAACGTCAGGAGAGAATGCCTCTAGACCATGGCCATATAGCCTGAAAAAACCCACAACAACCCATGAATACCTTCTCTGGAGGTTTCCAAACAGAAGCTGGAATGTGTCCAGAGGAGGATGACTAAAATGATCAAGGGTCTGGAGAACAAGCTCTATGAGGAGCGGCTTAAGGAGCTGGGTATGTTTAGCCTGAAGAAGAGAAGGCTGAGAGGAGATATGATAGCCATGTATATGTGAGAGGAAGCCACAGGGAGGAGGGAGCAAGCTTGTTTTCTGCTTCCCTGGAAACTAGGATGCGGAACAATGGCTTCAAACTACAAGAGAGGAGATTCCATCTGAACATGAGGAAGAACTTCCTGACTGTGAGAGCCGTTCAGCAGTGGAACTCTCTGCCCCGGAGTGTGGTGGAGGCTCCTTCTTTGGAAGCTTTTAAACAGAGGCTGGATGGCCATCTGTCAGGGATGATTTGAATGCAATATTCCTGCTTCTTGGCAGGGGGTTGGACTGGATGGCCCATGAGGTCTCTTCCAACTCTTTGATTCTATGATTCTAACTGGGGCCATCTCTCGGGAGGGCTTGGATTGTGTCTTCCTGAATGATAGAACGGGGTTGGACTGGGTGGCCTTTGGGAGTCTCTTCCAATTCTCTGGTTCTATGATTCTGCATTGAATACCTTCTCTGAAGGTTTCAAATCAGAAGCTGAATGGCTCTCTGTCAGGAGGGCTTTGATTGTATCTTCCTGAGTGGCAGAATGGGTTTGGACTGGATGGCCTTGGGGAGTCTCTTCCAATCTCTGGTTCTATGAATATATTGCATTGAATACCTTCTCTGGAAGTTTCCAAACACAAGCCAGATGGCTATCTGTCGAGAGGGCTTGGATTGTGTCTTCCTGAATGGCAGAGTGTGTTTGGACTGGATGGCCTTTGAGTGTCTCTTCCAATTCTCTGGTTCTATGATTCGATGAATACAATGCATGAATACCTTCTCTGGAGGTTTCCAAACAGAAACTGGATGGCCATCTGTCGGGAGGGTTTGGATTGTGTCTTCCTGAATGACAGAATGGGGTTGGACTGGATGGCCTTTGGGAGTCTCTTCCAATTCTCTGGTTCTATGATTCTGCATTGAATACCTTCTCTGAAGGTTTCAAATCAGAAGCTGGATGGCCATCTGTCAGGAGGGCTTGGATTGTGTCTTCCTGAATGATAGAATGGGGTTGGACTGGATGGCCTTTGGGAGTTTCTTCCAATTCTCTGATTCTATGATTCTGCATTGAATACCTTCTCTGGAGGTTTCCAAACAGAAGCTGGATGGCCATCTGTCGGGAGGGCTTGGGTTGTATCTTCCTGAATGGCAGATGGGGTTAGATTGAGTATTTCTTTGGGTATTTCTTCCAGTTCTTCAGTTCTGTGGTTCTGAATTGAATACTTTCTCTGGAGGTTTCTAAACAGAAGCTGGATAGCTATCTCTCGGGAGGGCTTGGATTGTGTCTTCCTGAATGATAGAATGGGGTTGAACTGGATGGCCTTTGGGAGTCTCTTCCAATTCTCTGGTTCTATGATTCTATGAATACAATGCACGACTACCTTCTCTGGAGGTGTCCAAGCAGAAGCTGGATGGCTCTCTGTCGAGAGGGCTTTGATTGTGTCTTCCTGTATGACAGAATGTGTTTGAACTGGATGGCCTTTGGGTATCTCTTCCAATTCTCTGGTTCTGTTATTCTATTAATACAATGCATGAATACCTTCTCTGGAGGTTTCTAAACAGAAGCTGGATAGCTATCTGTCGGGAGGGCTTGGATTGTGTCTTCCTGAATGACAGAACGGGGTTGAACTGGATGGCCTTTGGGAGTTTCTTCCAATTCTCTGGTTCTATGATTTTGCATTAAATATCTTCTCCGAAGGTTTCCAAACAGAAGTTGGATGGCTCTCTGTCGGGAGGGCTTTGATTGTGTCTTCCTGAGTGGCAGAATGGGTTTGGACTGGATGACCTTTGGGCATCTCTTCCAGTTCTCTCGTTCTATGATTCTGCATTGAATACCTTCTCGGAAGGTTTCCAAGCAGAAGCTGGATGGCTCTCTGTCGAGAGGGCTTGGATTGTACCTTCCTGAATGATAGAATGGGGTTGAATTGGATGGCCTTTGGGAGTCTCTTCCAATTCTCTGATTCTGCATTGAATACCTTCTCGGAAGATTTCAAATCAGAAGCTGGATGGCTCTCTGTCGAGAGGGCTTTGATTGTGTCTTCCTGAGTGGCAGAATGGGTTTGGACTGGATGGCCTTTGGGGATCTCTCCCAACTTTATGATTCTAGGCATTGCTGTTGAACTATAACACCTCTCAACCTTGTAACAGGGGTGTAAATTCCTCTCTCCGCCCCAAAGAGGAACATATAGGCATGCAGAAATAAACATATATGCAAACCTCCCTTTAGACTTTGAACTTGATAAGGAGTTTGTGGCTTTCCTCTTGTGCGAGGATGGCCAACCTTGCAGAGGAAAGAGTGCATGAGATGGGTCTCTTTGCACATTTCTCGGTGGCTTTTGGGGGGCCGAAGCTGGGCTCGGATGCCGGCCCTTGGATGTGATGGGGCTCCTCCACTGAAGGACCCATGAGCCCCCAGGTCTTCGCCAAGCCCCCCGATGGGGGCTGGGGCTGGATGGTGGTCTTGGCGGCCTTCTGCCAGTCGGCCTTGGTTTTTGGGGTGCTGCGCTCCTTCGGGGTCTTCTTCGTGGAGTTCGTGGCTCACTTCCAGGAGTCGTCCAGCAGCACCTCTTGGATCACCTCCGTCTCCATCGCCACCTTGATGTGCGGAAGTAAGTGCTTTTCTGGAGAGCCAGGATCCAGATCCACCCATCTGTCCTTTTATGGTGTCCTTTTGGACTACAACTCCCAGAATCCCCAAGCTAGCCAAGATCCAAATCTATCCATCTAGGCATCCTTTCGTATGATCCTAAATGGTCACTTTTGGGACAGTAATCCCCAGAATCCCCAAAAGATCCAAGACCCAAATCCATCCATCTAGGCATCCTTTCATATAATCCTAAACGGTCACTTTTTGGACTGCAACTCCCAGAATCCCCAAAAGAGCCAAGATCCAAATTCATCCATCTGTCTATGGTGGGGTTTAGTGTGTGTGCATGGTCCTTAAAGGTCACTTTTGGGACTGCAACTCCCAACCAGGATCCAAATTCATCCATCTGTCTATGGTGGGGTTTTGTGTGTGTGCATGGTCATTAAAGATCACTTTTGGGACTGCAACTCCCAGAATCCCCAAAAGATCCAAGACCCAAATCCGTCCATCTGTCTATGGTGGGGTTTTGTGCATGTGCATGGTCATTAAAGGTCACTTTTTGGACTGCAACTCCCAGAATCCCTAAAAGAGCCAAGATCCAAATTCATCCGTCTGTCTATGGTGGGGTTTTGTGTGTGTGCATGGTCATTAGTCYCTTTTTGGACTGCAACTCCCAGAATCCTCAAAAGAGCCAAGATCCAAATTCATCCATCTGTCTATGGTGGGGTTTTGTGCGTGTGCATGGTCATTAAAGGTCAGTTTTTGGACCGCAACTCCTAGAATCCCCAAAAGAGCCAAGACCCAAATTCATCCATCTGTCTATGGTGGGGTTTTGTGTGCGTGCATGGTCATTAAAGGTCACTTTTGGGACTGCAACTCCCAGAATCCTCAAAAGAGCCAAGACCCAAATTCATCCATCTGTCTATGGTGGGGTTTTGTGTGTGTGTATGGGCCTTAAAGGTCACTTTTTGGACTGCAACCCCCAGAATCTCCCCAGCCAGCCATGCCAAATTCACCCATCCTCAATGGCATTCTTTCCTGTGGTCCTTTGGGACTATAACTCCCAGAATCGACATGTGAGCCAAGATAGAGACACATCCAGCTGTCCTTAATATTCTATGTGCAAACTTTAAAACTCATTTATGGGACTGCAACTCCCAGAATCCCAAAGCGAGTCAAGTCTTATAGGTGACTTTGAGGACAGCAACCTCCAGAAACCCACCGGCCAGCCATGCCAATTCACCAAATTCACCCTTTTAGAACTATAACTCCCAGAATCCCCAAGCAAGCC